TTTTTTTTTTTTCCCCTAAAAGAACAAATAAGGAGATGGGTTGGGGTGGAGGGGAGCTTTCACATATCCTGTTTGGGACAATAAAAGAATAAACACCAGAAAAGATTTATCAGGCAGCAGACTTTGCTGATGACACTGTTGGTTGAATTTCTGAAATCCTTCCCTAATGAAAGACAGATGTACAAATGAAAAACTTCAGCAAGTGTGCTTAGTAGTACTTTTAGTTTAAAGAAATGCAAAAAGGTTCTGTGACTGTGGAACTTGAAAGTCAAATTGAATTTTCCAGATAAAAAGCTAGCTAGGTGTTTGTGCTTCACAATACACCTAGAACTAGCCACTATGACCCTACTGCCATTTGAAAATAAACCTACCTGTGAAAGACAGTTTTTCCAATATAGTCCAGTTAACTGAATTTTCTACAGTTTAAGAATTGCACTGTTGTAGTTAAGAGGGTCTGAAGTTTTTCTTCGGGTAAAATATCTAAATCAGTTATTAAATTTAACTTTTCTGTGTTTCAAACATGAACATGCTCTTCCACTGGTAAGTTTTTTCAAGATCGTGTTCATTTCAAACTACTAAATTCAGCTAAAATTAGTAGTGATTTCTTTGATTTAAATTTAAAAAGAACCAGAAGTGTCGTGTCTGGATGATGGGAGCTTACTAAAAGTTCTGTAATATACAGGTATATAACCAATGATTTCTCTAAACAAAATACATATTTGTCAATCTTTAGACTCTTCTCCCTCTCCGGGTGTTATGTTGAAACGTATATTGGGCAGACAAGGGCTAGCCAGCTTTTGTATGTTACACAAAAGATATGTTGACCTCCTGGATATTACTTGCCTCGTTTTTGTCTTTTCAGTGCTTGTTCCCATTATTCTTTCCTTCAGCTTTTCTTCTCAATGATTCACTTCCTCAAATGGACTATTCCTCCTACTTACTCCTTGCCCAGGGCTGCATGGCTTTCTATCTAACTAACTCCTCATTGTTTCTTCCACTTAACACCTACTCAATACTTTACAGGTGTTTCCCAAGAGTATTTAAAAGGTGCTAGTGGGAGAAACAATAGAGTCAAACTCCCAAATAGCTTGGACAAACTGATAGCCACATCTATGCAAAAAAAAAAAAAAAACCAACAAAAAAAACCCAAACCAAAACCAACAACAACAAAAAACCACCCCAAAAAACCGTGTGTTTGCTTTTTGGTTTCCGTTTTTAGTAGAAAATCTCCCAGTATGAAATGAGTGCCTAGGGAATAAAAAATCAAGACCCAGAATTCTTTTGACTTTCCCCTTCTGTTTTTAAAAGTGCAATATGAAAATGTGATATCAAAACACTAAGGTAGAAAAAAAAATACAGTTCCTATTTTATTTTATTCTTTCTGTAAAAAATCTGAGTTAAATTACTGGGGTCTTATTTTGAGAACATCTCAACTACTCTTACTCTAAAATTGAAGATAGGAGCTGAATTATTTCTCCTTTATTCCAAGAGAACAGTTGGCACTTGTGCACCCTTGCCTAAGTCATCAGTATTTCCCACCACTGGCTATTGAATGCAACCTCCTATTTTAAAACAAGCTCTCCAAAACTGAAAGTCGTATGAAGTATAAAGAAAAGGAAAGAAAGTGTCTCTCGCTGTTAGAAGTAAGTCTATGGTTCACGCAGACAGCACTTGCTCCCCCACCTCCTGCCATCACAATAGCCACATTCCTGCCTAAATGCTGCTAGAGATTTATTTTTTCCCCAGAACAATCAAACCTGTCCTCTTTGCTATGTAACACAGTAAATTGGTGGCATGTTAAAGAACACTGCTACTATACTTTCCATACTACCGAATGGCAGAATACATCTTGATATAAAATCTAGCACCCCTCAAGAGTCACTTTCTTTCCTCTATTACACTCAACATGTCTAAACATAACTTTAGACTTACTTTAAGACTAAATGCAAGTTAGCAGATAGCCGTGGATCTGTAAACTGCGTTGTCCTGTTGTTATGGTCAACAAAATAAACTCTGCCTGTTGCTGTATTTCGGATCTCCCATCCAGGAGGCAGTGGACCAAGCTCTTCACAATTGATGTTGCTAAGATCCCTGTGAAAACAAATATAAAATGAAAAATACCTCAGCATTTGGCCTCCGAGCCAAACAAGCGTAAATGTAACAGAACAATTCCATGAAGTCTGAGAAAACGTATTGTTTCAGAAACTTGATCTGTTCAGCTGGAATCCCTACTCCCAAGGTGCAAGCCCACCAAAGAAAAAACACACATCCCAGAACACATGCCGTAGGGAAAAAACCTCTTATCAAATAACCTTCATTTTTACAAACTAACTTCAGATGTTAAATTAATACAGGCTTAAAGCAAAAATAAAGACCATTGCCATATTTGCCAAAATGGAATTGCATTTCTACACCAATTCTGACAGGAAAACCTTTTTAAAACAACATTAGTCACGTAAGGAACTCTGAATCACACTTTAAAAACTCCTACAAAACAAAACTATATTTCTGAAGAGTTATACTTTCCATGAAGAATTACACATGGGATATGTGTGTATGCCACAGGTGGTTTTGCCCCAAAACCCCAAGTGCTAGTGGGAAGCAAACAGCTCTCTAACAACATATTTCAAATAAAATATTGTATGAACAATGACTCAGCTCTGCACTGAGCAAGGCAGAGATAGCTTAATGGGTCTCAAGAAAATTCAGCTGAAATTAGGAAGATGTAGATTCATTCCAGAGGTTCACTGAAAACAAATACTAGTCTTCAAATATGTACACTTACTGATTTTTCATGTACATAATTCACACCTCAGACATGTCACACTGTCAAGTACAGCTTTTTAAAAGTGTAAATCCTCAGATCTCCCAGCATGATGTGGGTTCAGGGGAGGAAAGAGCTGAGGGGCAGAATGGCTGAAAAGATGCTGCCTGCAGGGACTCCAAAGGCTGAGAAGCCACTAATGGAAATCCAAGGCTCTGGGATGGAACTCTGCTATTACCCACATACACACTGCTGCTGAACTGGAGGGCTTATTAACTAAAGGACCGTGGCATAGTAGCATAAAAATACAATATTCCTTAGAAATGACATAAACTCTATCCTCAAGCAAACAGCCAAACGTTGTTCTCAGAGACACTCATGCAGTTTCTGTTGCCACACCTAAGAGCAGCGCTAAGTCAGATTTTGTACAAACTATTACACTGCAAACATAAGGATTAGATCTTAATAGAATTTTTTTAGAGAAGTCTAGCTTCTAGTTTTGTATAACATGCAAGTCACAGGTGCAAAGACTTCCTAATGCACAACTGCCAGCTGTATCCCACTTTTGGGCATACAGATAATGCATCAAAGCAAAGCATATTCTTGTACCGCAAGAGCAGTAATAAAAACAAAAGAAGCATTTGAAAATGCAGGGGAGTTATGGCCATGAGGCACTTTGTCCTTCCCGGGATGTCCCATTTCCATGGGAATGGGCAGCAGCAGCAACTGACAAAGTTGCTACAATTCTCATAAACGCCAGCACTGCCTGCCAACTTCAAACTACACGCTATTTTACACCACCATCCACAGACTTTAGGAGGCAATCACTTTCGACAGGATTTCTTGGTTTTTTTAAAGAACAATCAGGAGCTAACAATAATTTCCCTGTTAATCTTCTTTCTTTTCAAACACATCAGAAATGATCACATACACAACCATGTACAATTTGTACCTGTATCATGTAAACAAGGACACTAAACTAAAAGGACAATTCAGATTTATTTCCTCCTAAGTGCTGAGATAGCTGCAACAGAAACAGCAGTTTGAGTATTTTAATCACAGGTCAGTCTCTCAGCTTCTCTACCTGTTTGCCCCTCTCCCCCAGATTCTTTCCCATTTATATGTTGCTAATCATACACTTGAACACATATATGACTGGTCTAGGAATATCCCTGTTAGAGTATTATAAAGAAAATAGATATTTAATTTCTGCTCTGTAACAGGAAGCCTGCTGTAAGAAAGCTTGTGCATTTTTAGGTGTTTGCTACTATACTCAAATGGAAAAAACTCCTTTGCCCAGCCTTAAAAAAAATTTAAAAAAAATAAATAAAAAAAAATCCCCCAACCAAAACCCAACCCAACATCCTGGCACTTTAACCACAGCTCACCATTTCAGCTTCCAGGCTTTTTATGACGCAGTGTCTCCAATTAGTTTCTTCAAAATGTATCAAGTTTCCCATTCCTCGAGTAAATTATTTTTGATAGTCTGAACATGGGACAATAATTCTCACAGACAAGTGAATTTAAGCTAATGCAATGAGGAGACTGTAGTTCACTACAAACAGTGTGTCTGAACATACAAGGGGCATCCACTAGATTTTCCCCTTTGTCTGCTCCTCCATCAAAAATGATCACATTTGTCTAGCCTATTTGTCACAAAGTTTGTTCTTCATAAATATAAGCTGCCAATTTCTCAGGTCTTGTTAACTTCCAGAGCCTGAATTAAACCCCCAAAACCAATCCACTTCACTGAAGTATCTCAATAAATCTAAATTTTTACAAGTGCTCAGACCCTACTTTTTGCTTCCTTATGTTGCAGAGCATTAAAATCTGGACCGGGCTGTAATTCATATTCAAGATCTAGAATCTGTTAAGTGTATCTGTTTTCAAAACACCATTGCAATTTATTTCTTGATCGTCCATCTTTGCATTAAAATAATTTTAAGAATGAGGAAGAGAGACTAATTTATTTTGATGAATGACTTGTTAAAATTATCTATTAGGGTCTAAGAGTAAGAAACATATCATTAGAGAAAACTCTGAGGAGAGTATTGCTTAAACTATTTAGATTTGACACCTTAAGGATACTTCCATTGTTTCTTACCTAGGTACTCTTGGATCGTGCCACGTGCTAACACCAGTCTGAGTATGCAGAAAATAGACCTGACCTTGCTGAGTTGTCCTTTGCTCTGTGAAATCAAGATAAATTAGTAAGAACAAAAAATGCAATATAAATGCTCACAGAGACTGATTTCCTCACCAAATTAAGGAATCAAAAGGATCTCACATACAAGACGACGTAACCCGTTTTCCCAGTTTCTTGGAAGACCCACAATTAAAAAAAAAAAAAAAAATTAATTTGCCTACCATATCCTTCAGGTAAATCGGGAGGAGTGTGCAAGTGTGTCCTGCTCATGTAATTTCTGTGCCTCTGTGACCTGACTCTCCTCTCTGCCAGCCGGGGATCCGACGACTGCCCACAAGTTGCACCATTCGTTCCTGTAATTGGAGTGTTCTCGTCCACAAAACAGCTCAGCGGCCTGCCAGGGCTGGAATATTCAGATGCTGGCCTGTGGGAAAAATGTGAAAATTGCATTGCTGCCTGGACACGGGGCTACACAGCACACTTCATGGAAGCTTCACCTCAGGGCGCTCAGGAAATCTTTGTGGACGGCAGAACTCAGCAGTCAACTTATTGAGCAGGATACCTCGACAACGGGCAGAAAGCTTCTGTTCTGTGTTCACTGGTTCATCCCAGAGTAATTAGTAAACCTCCTCACCTATCTGACGGTCTGACCTGACAGTATATGATGCTGCAGGATCAAGATCGTGTCAAATGCTGACATTCGCGGTTTCCACCTTAAACAGAGTGCTGAGAGTAAAATTATTTTCTTTTCTTTAAATGAGCAGCATACAGCCCAGACTTTCTCACCTTGCCTTCATATGGCTGAGAAAATGATCAGGCCTTGTTATTCTTTCTAATTTTAAAGGAAGGTTATTAGGTGAGGATGGTGAAAAAGGGCTAAGCAAGATAAAAACCAGTTGCTCTGGAGAGCTTGACTGCAAGAGGAAACACTGAATTATGCGGTTTCGTATCTCAATGCTGCTTTCAAAATGATTTAAAATGCGTTAAAGGGAGATTGATAAGGATGCAGAAAATCCCCAAAACAAATTCTGTATTTTGCATTTGTTTTTCTACTACAACTGTGTCTAGAGCTTAGAATAAATATTTTAACATACCAGGAAAAATACAGATAGGTAAATTAAAAAGCTGTTCAGTACTTGAAAACTCAAATCACTCACTTGAAAACTGCAAATACATATCAGAGCTGGCAGCGTTAACAGTACAGATTTTTTTAAGTCAAATATATCCATACAGAGACTGGAATAATATTTATTGAAGATGGAAGAGACAGTCTGCAGGCACAGACGGTCTGCAGAAGAGTCTGAAAAAATAGGCAATGACACTGTCTACAATTCAGGTAACAGCAAAACTGGTTTGAGGAATAGCTTTGCAACCCACGTCTATGGTTATAGAAAAGGCAATCGTAATGATTTCAAAACATACTCTAACAATCAGCTTTAAAAGTTTTGGATTACACGGTCATAGCATGTACACAGACAATGTCTGCCAGCTATTCACGACCTCTTCTCTTCATCTCTTACAATGCCTGCACATTGTAATTGTCTGTATTTATAGAGCTCTACCATAGATGCTCCACAAGAAAACAAAGATGCAAGTACTACAGAAGAAAAACATCTAGTCAGAATGATACTCCTGAATTAAATATTAGGCAGACTGAAGGAGTAGGATGTTAGAGAAGAAAAGCATACAGTGTTTGTAGAGTGACACTCGGAGGAATGCTGAATACCCCTGTTACGCCACTTAGAATCGCTTGTGCTCAGCGCTCCTGGTCAGCAAGCAAACTTTGTCATATGCAGAGTCTCCTAAATAATTTCTTACCGTGTGGGTCGCTCCCACTGAGTTGTTCGTGTAATATGATTTAAATACTGGATCCTTCCAGAAGCAGTCCTCCGCTCCTCCCACCTAGAATTCAGACATTGAGAGAGAGATAAGGCAATGAGTGGTATTTCCAGGAAACCAGGGCACAAAATGTTTCCAACACAAATGCCAACTCAGGAAGACTTACACTATTATGAATCATGTTAGCTGAACAAGGTAACAGGAAACAACTGAAAGTTCAACTCAGAATTAGTTTTACATATTCTTCCCTTGGAACCAGACATATCGCTAACAATATCACACCTTCATGTTCAATAGCCATATAAAGAAACTTCTTGAAAACATCATGTTTAATAATGCATTTAACTTTTTTTGACCGCTGATCCTAGTAAATGCTTTCATAGTATCTTCATACACCTGCTTTCATTAGAAATTCACCTTCAAATAATGTGACTTTTTAATTACTATTACTTTTACACTCCGAAATACATGAGGCTGTACAGCCAGCTTTGCAGTCACACAATTAAGTAAGCAGTATTTATACAAGGAACATTTTGAAGTGAAAATTTAAAAGCATTTTCAAAAATGTTTTTTGACTTCTCCAGACTCCAAATTAACAAAAGAATGTTGTTTAGGACTTAGATGATAATTTACGTTTTAAAATTCATCATCTGAAAAATCAGTTTCTCCTGTCTTTACCTGCCAAGAATCACATTCAGACGGTCTGCGTTTGCTCTGAAAAAGTTGATGACAGCACCAGAACCTAAAACAGAGCATTCTTCTGTATTCGTAAAACTGTTTTAGGTGTTAATGATGTCATTAACTCTCACAGGGACAAATCAAAATCCTAAACCCAGCCTTTGGCAGGTAAATACAGCAAGAACCCGGACTCCATTACCTTGTCCAATCATGTTGCCTTCACCATGATTTACATGGAAGAAAAAGTGATCCATTTTTATAATAGTGTATACCTCTGCACAGCACTGTAAGGGACAGCCAGGCCCATGCGTTCACTACCTTGCTACGAAACTGCTATATGGATGAAGTCAGTTTGCTGGCTGTGATTTAACATTATATTAGTTTATCAGTTCTATAATTTGAAAGACATGTTTTCTTAGACAAGCACATTTTTTAATGCATTTACTCATATGTGCCACCTCCCATTTTTCAAGAAGAGGCAAGACAAGGGTCAAACTATGAACTATGCTGGGTAGCCTGGTTGGCTTATCTCCTGCTCCTAAATTCAAAACCGTAGAACACTTGAGTGCAAGAATAAAGATAAATTAACCTATTTGTACGCTGACTTCTCATTACTGCAAGTCTGTTGTATGAGTTGTATTTGTATTTACATCATGGTGATGTCAGCTTACCCATCTGGTAAATCATTATCAAATAACCGACTGCAATCCACAACTTGTCCTCCTGTGCCTATTCGGTCTCTGGACTGAAGACTTACTATGAAGATAATAAAAGAATTATTAAAGATATGACATCTGAATGCAAATTACAGTTACATTTGAAAGAAAAATGGAACAACTTGGAGGACTAAGCTGAACCACGTTCTGGTTATTTTTTTCCTTCCCACAAATCAGAGTTATACAGAAACAGTGTATGTTTTCATACATGGAACTTCCTACACATTACTTCAAAAAAAACCTAGCTTGAAGAATATGAATGCAAGTTAAGGCAGAAAAAGAACGTTTCTCTGTATGAGACGGAGTGTGACACAGCGGAGCTGCGTGGCTCGTCTGGCGGCAGCAGGATGGCTAACCTCACGTGCGGCTGGGACAGCAAGCAGGACAGTGCTAGTGCCAGGCTTGCGCTGCTAATGGGAGAACTGTTAATAGAAAGAGCTAAAATAAGAAATTCCTGTATGTTTTTGACTCCTCCTTATGTATTTTGTGTGCATGTGGGATTCACACGCATGGACACACACAAAACCAGGCAAAACGTAACTGCTAGAAGCACTACAGGTTTGGTTTATTGGCTACTTTCAAACACTACTGGTAAGAAGTTAAATGCAGCTTTCACACAAAGCAGTGCTCAGCACCCTGAAAAGCCCTTACAGCCCTCAGCAAAACTCTTATTTATTTTTTTAATTTATTTTTTACATGTTTCATTGTAATGGATATTTATGCCTGAAGCTTTGGTACTACAGTTATAAAAACAAAGATTTTTTGAGCGGCTTTTGTTCCCAATATTATAATTTGCAAGTGTCCAATCTGAAAATTTATGACACTTGTGTTTCTGTGGGGTTAGGGGTGGTTTTTTGATGTTTTGTTTTGCCTTTAACAATAAAACAATTACTTAAAAAGCTAAATACGTGCTGTGGCACACATTTCTTGAGGGGGCAATACTGTATCTCTGGACTACTGTCTTCAAGTCCTATTTATGTATGCAGTGAGATAAACATACAGACCTTAACCTAGACACAACCAAACTTTTGTCAAGATCACAAAGTTAAAAAAGATGTAGTAGTACTGGCAGTTTTCGCCAGAGTCCAAATTTTCAATAACAACAAGTTTTGAAGCTTGGGATTTTGGGCCTTCAACAGACCAATCCAGGGAGCCCTGCAGTACTTGCTTGCTTTAGTCCTAATCAATATGAACTTCTAGTCTTCCATGAACACGAAAGTGACAAAGCAACTTCTTAGAGGGAAAGACGCCTTTAATTTAATTTCAACCAAAACAAAATCTTAGATGATGTATTTATTCTGCAACAAACCCACACATTACAAGTTCACATTGTTGCATGTAGGCAAGGTTTGGCAAGCAATACACACAGACAAAAATGAAACTAAACAAAGGCAATTACCTCCTCTTTGCCTATGTGAGGACCAAAATTTGTGCACGGCTTCATTTTGTAATGAGTAAGGACTCATTTTTTCTGCACCGCCACATCAGAAATAAAATGGTGGCACAGAAGAGAGCTGCAAGATTAAGACACAGTTCAGGTGCCCTTTGCATCCACTACTCACAAGCGTCCCCTTTTCTTCCCCCCCTTTGAAGATAACCCCAGGTATTTTAGATAAAGATCCCCTTGCTTCCTGCCTCAAATTATAAAGGCATACCCACCATGCACTTGATCTGTAAGGTTATCATCTGCTGAAGGTATCAATCGCATTTTAATATTATTTTCCAATCTTGCATAGCCTCTTAATTTAAGCCAGTTTATCATTAGAAGGACTGAGAGTACACTTATAACTTACTCTATCTTCTTTCTTACTTTTAATCAAGATTTCCCCACCATGTAACTACTGCAGCGGAATTACCTGGTTTTACTCAGGCTCATTCACCCATTCAACAAAATTGCATTAGTGAAGAAAGAGTAAAATATAAGGGGATTAATCACGACAATTTCAATGAAAAAAGAGACAGGCGTCTCTGGAATCGTATCAAGGATGCATTAAATTAAAACACAGCCATGACTGAGGAAACCTGACCTTTCTGATGATAACAGCACAAAGCAGAACACACACATTTGTTCTCAGTCTCCACTGTAACCTGACAAGCTGCGTTTTTTCTAAGTTCAATGCATGACCCAGCAGCTCCTGCTAATTAGAGACAGCCCAGCAGCATGCCAAAAGAGCTTATGCTGCTTGTTCATGATCACATCGGGTTAAGACAACTGGTCAGTCCAGTTTATACCCACACTGCTGATTAGTTATCTCTGACAACTAGTTATCTCTGAAGTGTATTTGCCATGCCCACACTGCACGGTATTTACCCCAGGCTTCCCATCTGGCATCCCAATAGACCAGATTTTTGGGGTTTTTTTTGCTTGTTTAATTAATGCTAGCATTCTGAAGTCACGACGACAAGGATGCATGCTGCATACTCTGGAGGGCAGCATGAGAGCACGTCACGGTGTGAGGGTACAGTCCCTGCTAGCATCATGTCTGAAGGACTGCTGTGGGCAGAGTGGGTCTCAGCTGCCTGGAGCAGACCCTGAACAAGCTCTCCGGTCAGCTGAGCTCCTTTCCTCTTCAAAGGAACCCCACAAACAAAATTGCATGCGTACAGCATGGATGATCAGGGGACTAGTATAGCAGAGAAAAGCCAAAACCCAAACCAAACTGACAACATAATGCACCCTAGAGAAATGACTGGTTTATTCTTTACTCTTCTGTGCAAGCTCACATGGAAAATTTAATATTCAAGAATGGTCTGAAGTGTCGGCAATACACTTACGACTCCACATTTCTACCATCACTTGACTCTCCTGTGCCACCTCACTCTGTGCAAACACTTGCAGATCAGATGCTAGACAGATGGTTAAAGCGACATAAAGAGGTCAAGTCACAGGTATTATTCAACAGAGCACTTGGAGAAAAGCAAACAAATGCACCGAAGCCCTTATTTGCCGACTGATATTTCAATAGTTTTCCCTGGCTGACAAAACAAGAATGCTGCTTGGATATTATTTGAACTAGGATTTGAACATAAAACTGAGCATGCAAATTCACTTTTCTTTCCTCCATGTCCAAATATTAGCGTCTTGCCATAAAAACAAAGACCTCCTTATCCTGAAAAACTTTTTTTTTTTTTACTTTTTAAGTGACCTACTAGAAATGCTGCCTTCTGAAAAAAAAAATACCACCAAACTTACAATGCACCAAGAAGAGAGTGTTTATGAAGCTGTTTGTGGACACTTGTTTTTCAATTACCAGCTTCTTTTTAATTCTTAAGTTATTTAAGGTTTATGAGTTAGCAGAATGACAAAGCACAGTTACCGAGATTGGTGACAGACTTGTTAATAACCCATGAAAACACAAAATGAATTGACCAAGTCATCCCAGACAACTCACTCCTGTTACAGCAAGATGTTTTTACCCTTTCACAAAACCTACAGGAAGCGCAGCTTTGCTGGAACTCTCAACGGCCAAGAAATTTGCAGTCAGTTTTTCACAGGGAGTTCAGGCTCAAACTGTCACCATTCTTTACAGTGAAACTGGAAACTTTCTAAATAAATTTCCTATTATCTATGGTCTTATCTGTCCCAACACTTATAATAATATTTGGGGGGGGGAGCTGGTTTGGGTTTTTTGGGAGTGGTTTGGGTCTTTCGTGGGGTTGGGTTTTTTTTGTTTTGGTTTGGGGTTTTTTTTGGCAGGGTGTTGTTTTGGGGTTTTGTTGTGGGGTTTGGGGTTTTTTTTGTTGTTTGTTTTTTTTTTTTTTTTAATTCTCTACATACACACTTCTAGCCTGAAGTCCAAATGGTTCTGGCACTAGACAATGAATTTGGAAAAAAAAAATTAATTAAAGAAAACTGACATCTAGGAAGGGCATTTCTATAGCTATTGTTAAGGTCCAAGAGAGCTAAAAGATAAAATCCCTTACTTACCTACTATCTGTCCTCTAACAGTATCATTGTCATTTGGCCCAAGCTTGCACAGATCCAGTCTCTGATCTATGAAACAAGGACACAAAGTGTAAGTCATGCAATGTTTTGCTGCCTTTGAAAGGCACATTGAAGTACCATCAGAACAAAATCCAGCCTAGTGTAAGATAGTTAAGACTTCAAGAGATGGGGAAGGGAAGCAAAACTAAAAATCTTCAGCCAACTTCATTTTTCATAATTTTAAATCAGAAAACAAGACTAGAGTACTTTTGCTTTAACATTTTTCCTACTTCACAAAGCTCTTTTGATGAATAGGAAATGACATTATCCTAGACTGGATGTCTAAAGTGGTTGTAAGAAGTATTGTGAACTCTTTTCCATTTTGAAGACCAGCCATTGTCATAATGCAGTGTTCCAGTTCAACACTCACATTAGTGGAGTACAGAGCTAACCTGCAGCATCAATCCACGTGTTCCGTGCTAAATAGGTAGAACTTCATAAAACTGAGCACAGTGCAATGGACTGAAGTGCTGATCTAGTGACAAATATTTAAAAATGAGAACTTCAGTTATGCCTTTATTGCCAAGGAACCTGTTATTGAAGGTAAAATCACAACACTTCTCTACCAGGACGTCACTTTTCTCTCTTTTTTTTTTTTTTAAATTATCTGTATAGTCAAGCATTGCTTTTCCATCACAAACAGTGAGCCAAATTTTGTTCAAGACTAAATGGCATCCATTAGAATAATGAGAAAACAGCATCTTCCGTGTTAATTAACTTTTGAAAAATACAAAGTGCTGTAAGAGTTATAAAACACTTAATATCTTATGACAAAACTTGCTATTTAATTTTTAAGGCTCATTAATTTTTAAACTACAAATTTGGCTTCAAGATAGATTTACCCCTTTTGTTTATCCCTTAACACTTGCATTTTTGAAGGTAATAAAAAGATAATTTGAAAGGAATTAGAATCTGTCTTCCTTTGGAATTCCAACACAGTAAGCTCAGTCTTGACAATCCACAACCAGACTGCGGCATTGAAGTTGCCACTGTCTGTGGTAACAGGGCAAAGGAGTTGAAAAGCCAAAAGGTAAGTGACATTTCCTAACCTATTTGTGCTATCCTCAGGCACAACACACCATTACGAACTACCAAATTAATTGAAATATACAAGCTTTATAAAACCCAACAAAAACTCAATTAACTGTCACTTTTCCAAAAGTCTGTACATGAAGGTTTGCTCTGAAAGAGAAGAAACTCTTGTCTTTAGCTTACTTACAACCAGTGTCTTTGAGGCGGTTGATTGCGTTTGAAAGAAGTCTCACACAACCCAGAAAACCAGCTCCCTGCTTTTTATGAATTTTCTTGTGATTCCACACACTGATTGTTATTGAATCCGACTTCCCAATATATCTGAAAAATGTGAAAAACAGCACTGTGAATGGCACTTACTGAATACTTTGAAGATGCTCCAGAAATCACCTTGGGGGAAAAAAAAGGCTATCAACCATTACATTAAAAATTTAACACGCACTGCATCAGCAAAAGAGACTAAATCATCTTCAAAGAAGATGTACACATTACACTTTAATGAAAGCATGTCTTATGAAGGAGTTTACTTGAATACAAACTAATCTAAAATCCTGATTCTGGGAGAAGGCATTCACGTGAATCCAAAGTCTACCGAAATCTCTTTAAAACAGTAACACAAACGGGCTGTGGGCTCGCCTGGTGACCACATCTCTTCGAGCAACTACAAACATGCTCAGATTCATGCCTATGCTCAGCCTAACCAAAGAGAACGGCAACACGCACGGCAGGATGTGCTTGTGCAGCGCTAGCAGGCAGAGTGGTTCAAAAGTCAGGACAGAAACTGGCCGTTTAGCATCCTTCTGCAGCACTTCATCTGCCGCTGCTTTGCAAGCGGCTCTTCCAACCACCGGCAGGGCAAGTCACCCTCAGTAGAGCTCTTCTGAGCGCTCAGGGAAAATCTAAGGCAAACCTAGTTACACATCTGCAGTTAACAGATCTTTGGGAAGCTAATTTACTAATCGAGAAAGCTTCAGAGAGGCCCTGTTTATAACGTATGTTACGCATTACGAACGTGACCCGTTACAAAAAGTTCATATGGTATTTTAGCTGAGATGTGCCACACTGCTCACACGTGGGCTGCCTCCTCACAGCATTACCAGGGAAATGTTTTGCAAAACCTAGATCTGCATTTCACTGACTTGGGGAAACCTGGACACTGTAGGCTATTTTATTTTTGCTTTTTTTGTTTGAAGCTTTGTTCTTCAGAAGCAATTACTTTGTGAGCTAGTTTTCGTTTTCAAAACTTTCAAGGACAATTTCAAAACACTGAAGATAAACTAGCTATTGCCAGTGCTGAATTATCATAGTTATTTCAAGTTGAGGAGAACGAATTTGTAACTATGGCTTAGATCCCAAGAACTGCTTGTAGTTCTCCCTTCCCAGACCACAAATTCTGGTCTTCTGCAGTTTAGTTCCAAGTGCTTTTTAGTTTGTTTATGAAGGAAAACTGATCAAACTCAACCAATGTCTAAATACATCTCCCCCCATTGACTGAGACTTTATTGGTTTTAAAACATCTTAATATTTTCATAAAGATAGAAATGATACTGTCAAGGTTGGCAAACCAAACAGTTGAACGAACTGTCATGGCTTAAAATTGTAGCTGTGATCAGGTAAGTTCTCAATTAACACTTCTCCCATTTTTCCTTTTCCAGAAAGCAGAACTTTGACAATTTCTTTTTGCCACCTGCAGACAGGGACTGACCCAAGACGACAGAAAAGCCTAACTGTAGGCATAGAACCATGAGCATGGTTTAAAATAACCAGTGCGCATTTAAAAAACAAACAAAACACAAACTTCACACAAAAAAAACCCCAAAGGTTTTTGAATAGTAAACTGATTGCATAATATAGGTCAGATTTTTGGCCTTACAACCTTGACAATGCCAATTTTGCATAAAGAAACGAGAGATGAAGATGGGTATTCACGTGCACAGTTGCAGTCTACAATGTTTCATGTACTTAAAATAAATTCTTATGAGAACAAGTTAGGTGCACTTAAAAATAAAGACTTATCATGACCTGTCTTGAATTTTCCAGTTTTCCTTGTTGCTTTAAAAAAGTCAAAGGTATATGGTTAAACACAATTTCATAACAGAACAGTTTGAATAATACGTAGAACAGCTGAATATACAACACAGTTTCCAAGAATTACTGTAACATTTCAGGCTGAGGTTCTCATGGTTGAGATGCAGACAATAAGCCATCCATACCAAACAGGTGAGGACTTCCATATTACTACTATAACCTACTGATTTTTGCACCAGAAAACCTGGCTGATTCACAAATTTAAAGGAAATAAGCAAGTCAAGCTGCATTTTCCAAATAAAGATGTCTGTCTGGTTTTTTTTCCCTCTCCAAAGGAAGAAAAGAAATAGTTCAGTAACTGCTAGTTGGCTTTATAGCAAAATGTTTCGTCTATATTTCTGCATAATGTCAGGCATGAAAATACATGGTTGCATTTAGAGAGTGACACTAGGACAAGTTGACATTTCCAATTCATTTGGTGGATAAGTTACATTTGTTTTACATCATCTGGCAATAAAGTTTCAACATAAAAGCCTGAGCTAGGAATTTTATTTGTTATTAAAAAAGAATGTTCCAAAAAATAAAGCGAAGAAGTTAAAAAAAAAAAAATCAGAAACAAAACCCACAAAAACCTCATTTTGTTGGATGCCTCTTCCTCCTTATAATTAAAGTTCTTGGAGCTTTTTTTTTTTTTTTTAAACTCTACCCTATCAGCAATATCTATTTCACAGCTTCGGTACTTCAACAGAGATAACAGGATTAGCATTAATGAAGTGGAAACCTAGAAATTCAATTTCCATATACATTTTATCAACTCACATATTTCCAGGACCCATAAAAATTAGGGCTCTGGGTAAGAATTGCGTGTTTGGAAATTTTAAGAAAAATGCCTACTCTTAACACTTCCACTTCTAAACAAAAATCAAGTACATGCCATATTGGAAATGTCTAAAATCTTCTAATCAAATTTTAAACACACAGGGACAATTGTTACTTTGTCTAAACAAAATTATCTTTGCCAAGGTGGTATTTCCTTCTGAGCCAGTGTACCGCTCAGGAGGGTTTGGTTTCAAGTGATTTTTCATCCCCATGGCATTATACTTTCCCTGAAGAGTTCAGCTTAGCAGAGAAAAGCAGAATGAAAAAAAGTGTGGGGAAAAAAAAAATCCTGAAAAAACACACTTCTTCCTGATCACAGGCCAGATGTACTCCCTCCAGAAAGAGAGAAAAATGCAACGTCAAGAGGTATGAACTCAGGCTTGCAAGCCAGGAATTCCCTATTCCTGATCCATACTGTCACACAGACTCTTTTTACCACCTGGACAAATCACTTGATTTGTTTCTCTATTTTCCCATTTCTGATTTTGATTTTTTTTTCCCCCCTAATATAATGGTGCTGTTATGCTTTGAGGTATCAGCTGCTTTCAGATTAGGGGAGGAAAAGGTGTGAAGAGACATAATGAAAAACATCATCCCAATTTTTTCTCTTCTCTCTTCCTTCACCCAGACATTGCTCTCATCTCTGGTGGCAACTGAAGGGCGTTTGAGCCTCTGGGATGGCCAGGAGAGAACCAGCCAGAGGCTGTGGCTTCGGCAGGAACACAGCACAGATACATGGCACTGACGGGCTGCTGCTTTCTCCTCCTCAGTGCTACCCAACCCAATGTTGAGCTGAGCCTACAAGACACTGTAAAAGCAGCCACATCAAGCAAATAGCAAGCAAAGTGGGCTTCTACTCCAGATGTTCCTAATGGACCCACTGGAGAAGTTCAGCAAATACTTGTACGCCTAATACGCTCAAGCTGGAACGGCCAGATCTGCCGACACAGGCCAAACACGACCCAGAAATGCATTCACCCTAAATGCAAAGGGCATCAGCTTCATCAAGCTGGTCTAAACAACCATGTCAAGAAGGTAAAGCTGTTGCAAGGAGCTGTTTGTCGGCTCTTTAGGAGTCTAATCTAGGATGGGGTTACCTAAACCAGCACTAGGCAGAGCTGTTGCCTTCTCTCCCAGAATCATTAGCATTAACTAGGCAAAGTAGAATTGGAGGGTTGGGGGAGAAAGGCGATTCTGCCAGGGCAGTGCAGGGGCTTGAGAACGTGAAGGCTTCAAACAGCACTAGAACCTGCAGTGGGAAGATATCAGAAGTTGGGTGAGGTTATATTTGAGAGGTATAACAAAGGAGAGCAACGAGTCCATGCTAGAACCTGGGGGTGCAGATTTGAAGGGCATAGAGTAAAGATGGGACTAGGACTAGGTTTTGGTGGAGATCACAGTACAAATATTTTTAGAGATAAAGAGACCATATGACTTGCTATGCCTTAAGGGCTGCTGGGAAGGGCCGAAGTAGGCTGGAGGGCACAGGTGAGCATGGGAAGGCTGTAGGAGAGATCCAGGCTATGACAGAATAGAAGAAAGGAGGAGGAGGAGAAAAAGGTGATTTCAGAACTGGTGGTTGAAGTAGTGTTCAAATGCTTTGAATGCAAAAAGGTCTGTAAATGTGTTAAGTCTGGTTGTTCAAAGCTTTGAGGGAAGGCCTGAACAATAGGGAAAATAAAAACAAGACTGAAAATAAGGAAGGGGAATACATCCAGGGCAAGCATGGTATTTTACTGACATTAAACTGCATCCAGACAGCAACTATTTGGCAATTTCTTTCTGGAAAGCCTCCCAGATTTCCCCCCTCCCCTTACACACACCCATCTAGACTGAAGAATCTAAGCAACTAATTCAGCTGCTTCCTTTCATGCTAAGGTCTGAATTAAGAAACATGTAAGGCAAAAGTAAATACATTTTCATTCCTTATAACACTGCAGACGTCTTTTTTAAAAAAATCTTATACAACAGAATATCTATTATGCTGAATCAGAGTAGCAACTTAATTCAGACATTATTGCATAAATACATCACAACAGATCCATCTTACTGTGCTATTTGCATATGCCATCACATGATACATGAGACTGTTAATTAGCAGCAGTGTTAATCTGTTCTACAAATTCCAGGCTGGGGACACTTCAATCAAACCAACACAGCCAAGAGACAGTTTTACTGCGCACAAGCCTATTACAGTAATTTAAAAACCAACAGAAATCTTCATGGTAGGGGAAAAAGAGGCAGGGCTTTTCTTTTTAAAAATTCTACATAACTGCACCTTCCTCTAGTTGATTTCCTATGCTGCATGGTGGCAGAAGCAGGCAAGCTGCCACCAAGACTCCACCTGTTATGCTTGGTGTGCAAAGCATTTCCTGTAACAGTGGAAGCGTCACAAGGCAGAGACTAGCGTTCCCATGCAATCATGTGTTGTTAGGGTAAACATTAGGAAGTTTAAAAAACCTTATTATTTTTAAAGGATGAGAAGAAAGATTAAGTTCTGTAATCTATGAGGTTTGCCATCAGGTGCTTCACAGTAGGATGATTACTATTCCTATTATTTTTCTATTTTTTTCCCCCAAAATAAAAATTCATTATCTTAATATCTAGTGCAGATGAAAAGCTGAGACCTGACACCAGGTATAATACAGTAAAAAGTTACCTTAAGATAAAAGCCAGGCAGTGAGTTGTTGTATCAGAGAAATCTATTTTTTACTGCCATTTTAAAAAGGAACTGAAGACTAGATGACTGATGTTTATGAATGGAAATAAACTTCCATAGAGTAAGGCATAACAGGCAAGACAATAATGATTATGAAGAACATTTTGAGATGGAAAGGATTATTTTCAAATTACAAGGGCTGACATAATGCTAAATTTTACTTTGGATAGAAATGCTGTGTATAATTCTGCCATCAGGGAACTGCCAGAATCAAGCAAAGTACTTTTCACTACAGGACAAGGAATTTATATTGAAAATAATATCCTAACTAAACAAACCCTAGGTTTTTTTTGGGATCTTCTTCCCAAAAAAGAAAATAAAAAAAAAAAAAACCCAACAAAAAACAAAAACCAAAACCACAATAAAATATTTAATGCAGGTCTAAATTCCTTAAGACAATCCAGCAAGATATGCCCCAAATCTGCCCGAGCAAAACATTCTGCCAGAAACCTCATTTCTATCTCTGCTTTTTATAACATTATGAACTGCAATCACAGTCTTGTTTCAAAGCTAAGACAACTACAGTATCCATATACAATCATGCCTTGTTCTATAAAAGAAATAAAAACACCTTCTCTTCATCCTTCCTTGAAAATTATAACCAGAAAGGATTTTTTTTGTATAGACTTTACTGCTTTCCACCTTACTCTCCTTTTATCCCTGTAAAGCTATGCATTAATGCTCATTAATAGAGACCCACCTAACTAAAAAGCAATAAAAGTGTGCTCTTATTTCAGGGATTTTTCTTTAGCTCTAGTCTGATCCTGTCAGCAGCAGGGCAGCATCGGTGGTACTCAGGGGATGGGCCCTGTGGTTCAGCTTCGTCCAACGCAATCAGGTTCACGTACTCTAAGCTGCTTCACGAAGGAAGCAGCAACACAGCAAATGGGGATGATTGAGAGACTACAAAACCTCGCTCCTGATGCCAGCTAACACGTTAATGCAGGCACACACCGTTACTGACCCAATGCAAGTCATTTACTCGGCAAAGAATTACACACATTTTTTCCCCTATCCAGCTACCTTCCTGTGGGTTAAGTGAATTGAATCCATTTAGCCAGAAGCCAGTGGAGTCAGTGCAAGGGAAGCAGCATGAGCACAGGCAGTAAACTGGGAAAGGGAGTGAAACAGCAGAGAAAGGGGGCTTTCCATTTTTGGTGCCCCCAAGCTGCAAGATCAGTGCAATCTACTCTCAAATTTCACCATTAGGACACTGCATGGAGTGTCAATTGCTGTTGAAAAAAAATGCTCAATCTAGATCTTCACAAATGGATGGGCAATCTTGGAGAGGGCACAGAAGGCCAGAGGTCTGAAATCTGCATTCTATACAAATCAACATTTTGATAGATTTAATAACATAAAAATCAAATTAACTTAGAATTCTTCAGATACAAAAAAGAGCCATACCTTGTACATTAACTTAAACTTGGTTTATATCCATTTTTCTAATGAATGTGAATTAAGTCTCATGTGCAGAATCTAAGCTTGGACTGAGTTTGAATGATAAGGCTATAATACTATAGCTTTCCTCAGTGAAAATGCTATTATTTCACTAAACTGCCAATCATATTTTGTTAAGCAGCAATACAAACATTTTGTATACTGCAAAAAAACGTCATGAACAGTGACTTCACATATTTAGTCGTGGATATTCAAATGAAGAGTAAGTCAAGACATTACTTTAAACCAGGCCTTCTGCATTCTGCTGAAAGACCTGTCAGGCTGCTTTTCTTCACTGGGAAAAAGGGAGACAAGAAGTTTTCTATGTACTAATGCTTGATTTGCTCTTGGTTTGGTGATGTACACAGCTAATGTAAATATGCTCAAACAATTTCTACTAATATAGATAGGGAATGGAGCCATTGGAAAAAAAGTTAAGAGATCAGAACAATGCCTTAGAAAGAAAGGAGAATACGAGGAAAAACTGTTCACTTTTCTTCCTCATCTGCCATCCCAAGGAAGAAGATAAAGAATAAATAAATAAAAGACAGGGAAAATAAAGCATGCACAAAGAAACCTACATAAAAAAATAAAAGCTTTAATAACTTATATTCTACAGAATATTCTATGCTTTAGAAAGACAGAGAAAAAACATGACATATACATGCCATACTGATTATATTGCTCAAAAGCATTGAAAGATGCTCAAGTGATGATAACAACATAACAATTTATAGTGAGAAGAACATTCGGGATAGAAAATGAGAGAATAAAGGAGAGAAAACTAACAAGAGGCACACAGCAGAAAACAGACCGTAGCACTGCAACAGACAAAAATAGTACGAAGAGAAGAGCAGTTTGAGAGAAATACTTTCAATTATTTGTTTCATTTTACAGAAGTGTTAACATGAAAATATTACAATAAAATAATGCTACAGAACATGTAAAGCATGCTGCAGACATCATCACTAGAAAAATGAGTGTAGTGTTTAGATTTTGAGGGAAATGGGAAAGTGGTATTTTGACACATGTATTTTTCACTCAAACTAATAAACTCTGGAATATTTTCCAAGCTGCAAATAGGACAGTATTATGAACATCTCACAACGTCTGTGTACTTTAGAGGATTTCACTTCAAACCTTTGGTTATCACTGTTACCACCTACAGGTCATAATGCTGATTCCATTTTGGATCAAGTGTATTCTTCACAGTATCTGTAGAATGGCATTGGCCAGATCCGTCCACCACAACCTTAGCAAATGGATCAGGAAGTCCTAAGAGGAGGAAAAGAAAAAAAAAAAAGCAAACTAGCAAATGGATCAGGATGCTTTAGAGTCCTGTATCATTGCAATTTTTATTTTTTTTTTTTAAGTATTTTATTTGAAGTTGCCTTTTATTTATAAATGAGAGCCACATTTAATAAATGGGAATAACATGATGTATTAAGCACAGGAAATGGCTAAATTAGCCATTTATTTCACTGATACAGACCAACAAAAAGCCAAACACACTGGGAAAAAAATCTGAACACCTTAATCTTCCTAATTCAGGATTGAGTAAATGCTCAGTATACAAAGAATTCAGCAAAAGGCAGAGAAAACAGATTTACATTCTTCCCATTTTTAAGATTAATTACAATCATGATTTTGGTTGTTATTGCTATTACAGGAAACCAGCTGTAACAGGCTATTCTTGCTTTTGAAGTCTACCTTGTTTTCTGTTAGCTTTCTACTTTATTTTCTGCCAGCTTAGTACCTTGGAAATGCCGAACACAGGTTCAGTTGATCAACAATCAGTACAAATCAGTGCAAAGATGGTGCTGAACTACACAGCAGAGGACAGGAAAGCAGCAGGACCAGCGCAGCCTACTAACTGACCCCAAAAGAGATGGTCCCACGATTATTGCCCCTAAGTCATGCGGTCCCATCCCTTTTCTCCCTCATCTGAGTGCCCAGGGAGTCGGCTGAAGGAACTAAGGTGGTTGAAACATTATTCACATTTTCTGTAGCGCAAGTTTTGTACCAGTTCCGCTTCCTCAGGTGACTCACGATGGAGCCAGTCAAGCAGCAGAGTGGCTCAAGACAAATGTCTGACAAAGCACGTGGGGATAAAGGCAAAGGACATGGGGAAGGGAACGAATGGGACCTCGTGATATTTGTGCTTCAGTACAGAGGTGAATCACAGATTTCAAATCTTGAGAGGTTTCTTTAGGCATTATTAAACTGTTAAACACCTGAAAATTTGCAATCAATACAAAAACCCAGCTATAAAGCCAGTTTTGGAAGTATCACAAATTACAACATAATTCTGCATCATCCCTTCTTCAAGTTCTTCTCAAAGTTCAGGTCTGATCTTTTGAATTCTTCCTAGTCCCATCTGGGAGGCGGCAGGCAGGCGATCCGTGCGTGCATGTCTACGCAGCCAATAACATTCCTATCTGCCTCCTTCATCCACCTCTTAGCACTTCTTTCAAAACATTATTAAAATTAATTAAAATATAATTTCAGAGTAGGTAAGTATTATGAAATGATCATTAATAATTAAGATGTACATCTGTCTGCTGGACAAAAAGTTCTTATATGAAAAACATTTTAATAAATATGTGGGACTAATTGAAAAACATGTAATTTGCCAGAGAGAGTAAATTTGTTTCCCACTCCCATCAAAAACAGAGAGTGTGTCAGTGGTTTAATTATTACTATGAATCTCTGACAAGTGTCACCTAACAAAAAATTAGAAGCCCTGAAATAAAACCGTGTGAAAACACCAAAGCCTCCAGCCTCCCTAATGCAAATATCTTCATACAATGATCATGTGCAAAAACTGGCATATGGAACCTGCACAATATTTATCCCATCTCTAAATGTATAAAACTTTAATAGCTACTTACGGAAAAAATCCTTTTTCACCAAGTTTTTTGCACACAGTACTGTAAGAAAAACAGAAATACAAAATTAAGTTACTGATTCCCAACTTTAAAAAAAGTTACTTTACCTGTCCAGCATTCCAGAAAATCCTGTTCAAAATAAAATGAACATAAATGAATTGTGCTCCTACATCATTTACATTGTCATGTAAAATAATTCTGAAAGCTGAGCCAGAAGTGTCATCTTTTGGCAATTTACCTTTAGGTAGATGAAAGTGGAAGTGATACGCTAGTGGTTTCCTCAGGCAACAGTTTCACAGGCTGGGTTTTTTTTTTTTTTTTTTTTTTTAAGGTTTTGCCAACTCTGTGTTTCTCTAGTGAGGAAACTGGACCATTTCTAACTGGCTCATCGTACAGTGGCACAAACAATGGTGCCAGTAAAATTAGTGGTGTTTCACAAGGAAGGTTTTATGTTCAGTTCTACAGAGCAGCAAAAGCTTCCTTGACCATAAAAAATAGGGCATTAGGCACTCCAGGATTTTCTGTTATCCTGCATGGAAACTAAGTAAAAATTTTTACCTGAAAAACATTTGGGTGGAGTAGACTGACTACTAATGCCAGAGTTTTGATGGCTCCAAAGATATGTTTTATTTGTAGAAGCTGATAATTGTTTCAGGCTTTTCTGTTTAAATTAAAAGGGAGGAACATTTGCATTTGTCAACTAAAAAGACCAAAGGAAAAACAATCACACATGAGAATAGAATAAATAATAACAAAAATAAAAGAAATTAAAAATAAAAAGGGTCAAAGGGGGCAACTTTCATATAAAGATGCCAAGGTACACACACAAGACTTCTCACATAATCCACCTCTGTTCAACTACATATGCTTATCTATTATCACAGGTTTAGTAAGCAGGAAATATTAGATTCCCCTGTGAAACATTAAAATATTTACTGATAACACAAAAGGATTCTTGGATATTGAGTGAAAGCATGAATTCCCACAGCTAGTACAAAAACGAATAAAAAGGGAAGGGGGGGGAAGAGATATTTGGTTGGAGTGGATGCTGCGGAGGACTCCTCAGTATGTGATTCCCTTGGATATTTTTTCTATGAGATCGCCAATATTTATTACTCCCAGGAAATGCAAAGACAGAGAAGTGCATCGAATAATCACATCCCACAGACACCACCTAAAAACAGTTGGTCATGCTTTCCCCATAGTATATCCTCAAACTAATCCTGCAGGGCTACTGATTCTCCAATTTTGTTTTCAGTGTTTGCCCAATAAAATTAAGCGGAGGTAGTCCATGGAGATTTCCATGGTCAGGGCAGAGAAACACCACCCTGAATAGTTCTGCATGCTAGCACTAACTTATGTATTATTCCAAATCAATAGAATTAATGTTTTCCCAATTTTTATGTTCATAAAGATGTTGATTTTAATGAAATTGCTTTCCACAGGAATTCAGCACTGTAAAATCTAGCTAAAACTCTAGTCAGGTCTAACGAGTTTTGGTCCTCCATCAAACAGAAGGGGACACCTATTAATGACTACAGGGAGTCATAAAACAGTTCCCTGCACATTGACACATACATAAGGTATATACATAAGCTCCCAGGCAAGTTTCAGCATATTAGTTTGATGCAAGGGGGTGTTAATAACAATACTGCTAACCTGAAAAAAATTGCCAGGTTTCAGGTTGTTATTAGTTGTTCTTTTTAAAAGATGATAAAGGTAAAAAAATTATTTCTCACCAAAGACATAATGGTAATCCTAAAGCAGAGCTCTATTTAAGGGATTTTCACCCAATAATTCCACTGTAAACAGTCAACAGTAGTAAAACGTAACAGCCAAATGTTCTAGGTAATTCTGATACCTGGAGTTCACGCATGTATAGGAAACAGACTGTGACATCACTGTCCACGCCACAAAACATTCAAATAAAGTCCTTAGGATGATGGAATAAAAATCTAGTTACTAGACTTCCATGTGCCCAGCAATTTAAAGTCTACTCTATCCATACAATTGACAACAACTTGAAAAACACTTGAAGAAACAGGTAAGACAAACTTTGAAAAATGCTTCTTCCTTCAGATTTTGTTACACCAAGAATATCCTCAGCCTGAGTTGTCAACAGAAACCAGTCACCCAAGAACTGACAGGTTCCTGCTCACCAGACATCTTTCATCCAGCGGTGAAAAATTTCAAGTAAAATAGATGAATACATAGATAGACACTTTTTAAAATATCTTAAAAAAATTGTGCAATTTTATCTATTACAAGAAATGGGAAGTGTCAATGAAGCTGAATGCTTTAAATCCAACAGTTATGTCAAAATTCATCTATAGCACAGCAAGCCAGAAAATATGTTCCTGAAATTGCAGAGTATGTAAAAAAAAAAAAAAAAAAAAAAAAAAAAAAGATGTTTGACTAATCTTTTGAGAAAGAAATTGCAAGCTTAACTAATTATAAACACTTCCTTTCAAAATATTAAGCAAGCCTGCCAGTGCAATTTAACCAAAGTTTCATTTTATAAAATTGGGCACACACACAACATACAGACTAATAACTGTTTCCCCAACAATTAGCCATGAGTGAACAAACTAATATTTTTGGCTCAAGATTTCCCTGTCTAGTAACCACATTTAAGGAAAGTCAGATGTCAACCCATTCTGGCTCTGTCAGGTTAACAAAATAGGAGAGACACTGAGAAATCTTCCATTAACAACGCCCTCCCTGCCAAGTATTTCTAGGTAAAAAAAAGCCCAGGTCCCAGGAGCTCAATTCTAAGCGAGACAATCTTCCACGCACAGAGCTCTAATCTATCTCTGGACTTTTTCTGAACAAAACTTTTCCCACTGGTAGGAAAAGTACCAGAGTTTATGCTCCACTTTCCTAACAGTTTCAACACTGTATTAAAACCTATTCTGAATATTCTGATAACCAACTGATTAATAGTTCCTTGAGAATAAAAACTAAGGAAGTTTGGTTTCCTATGGATTTATGTTTTCTGGTTGACTGAAAGCCACAGCCGAGGCTGTTCCCACCGGTAGGGCATTTAGACAGACACTCCCACGCAGACTCTCCAGTGGTCTAGCAACACGGGATCTCTCGCTGCAGCTTTTTCCTCTCATTTCAGGTCACTGCTAGGGTCTCCTCTTTAGCCAGGCAACAATTCTCATAAAACTCATGGGACTTCATTATCTTTGAGACCTCTATCCTACGTCAAATTTGAGCCAAAGACTCAAAAAACAGAAAGAGCCATAGCAAGATATATTTTTCATGACAAAGCCAAGTTAAAATGCTAAGATTCTGGACCCAAATCCACATCATTATCAGATCTACACAGTTGCACCATTAATAGATCCTCTAGAGGCACAAGGCCACTGAAGAAGGTTATTTGCATGTGCTTGTTTGAAAACATTTTTCATCAAAATTATTTTTAAAGAAAAAAAAGTTAAGCTATTTAAACTTGCACTGAAGGTTTTCAGAAACTAGAATACAAACCAATGTCTGTACGTTTTGACATTGTTTTGGGGGTGGAAAAAAAAGGGGGAGGAGGAGAAGCATTGTACCATAAGTACATCATCAAGAGACATTAATGGCTTCTAGTACACATATGTAGATAAAGTATTTATTACAAAGTATCAATGAGTCAGTGGATAGCTATGGTTTGTATTTATTACAGACTTCCTGGGTAGTCTACAGAAAAGAGAACATTAATATTCCAATATGAAAGAACAATACATATGTGCCAAGACAAACACGCACGCCAGTTTTACATACTATATGTTCATTAAATATCTTTTTATCATACTTTATGATCTCATTCTAACATATGCTACTCAGGTCAGTTCATGGAAACATGAAAAGGTATTATAAGCTACCTAGTCTCCTTCCATGACTGCTTTGCTATGCATAGTTCTCAAATATTAAAAAAATAGGAATTAAGTGAATCACATTTGCCAATTTCCTCTCTTATTTATTACTCCAGTGACTGACAAAGAATGGTTTACTGAAAAATAATATAACTATTGCAAGTAAATGCAAAATATCTAATATTCCCAAACTCCTGTAACATAATTTATGTGTTAGCTATTAAAATTTACATGCAATTGTAGAGGGGGATGAAATAATTGGTTGAACCCATAAAAAAATTGAAAGGATTCATATTTTTCCTCATTTTTTGAACTCTTCTTACTCTTTTTGCTAGCTGCTAAAGAACTCTTTTGTTACAACTGCTTTTTATCTTGGAATAATTTTTACAGAAAAATCAAACTTTTTACGATATCAAATTTATGGAAGGTATCTTATGTTATACATTACTACTATTTTATGTAAGTATTAAAAAGTATGTTTATTTCAGAATAGTAAGTGTGTGTGTATATATATATCTCACAAAGTCTCTATACTTCAAGGGAAGAAGAACACGAAGAGGAAAGGAGAGTACCATTGTAAGAAGCTTGCAATGAAAACAAGTAAAAAGTGATAAAGATATATGAGACTTCACAGAATCACCACATCTTAGATATGATCCAAGAGTCTTCAATGATCCTATTCACCTGCAACTCTAGGATAACAGACCAAGAACAAGCACTGAGAAAGGCAACACTGAGAAAGAAAATGTTATCTGAATTTAAGGAACTTGGACATTTAAGGGTAGCGATTTTGTATTCAACCCTTGCCAGTATTTCCAACCTATATCAAATTGTTTATGCAATCTATATCAAACTCTTTATAGCCAATCAGTCTACCACATTCTTTCACACCTGCAAAACAGGAATAATACTACTTTACCTCACAGGTACATTGTAGTATAATACTACTGTTATAACGTGTCTCTTGATTTATGAGAAATTACACAGTTTAAACGTGTTTGTACCCAGCAACACCATGTGCTAGTATCTCAGGGCTATAGTTGTAGATGATCACTATAGAAATATATTATTTTTTAATACAGAAATTTTAAAACCAATCTTTCTGAAGCAAATAATTTTTAAATGTGTATATTGGAAAGACATCAATACTATCAGCAAACAATACAGGAAGGCAGGTAAGAAAATAAAAAGCAATCACAAATGTCCATGGAAGCGAGTGTACCAGCTGAAGAAGCGGAAGGAAACACATACTGAACACACCTAAAGCTCCGTAGGTGACTCAGTAAGAAAAGACACCACCACCACCCCCCATCTCATCTCAGATCTCCGTAAGTGACTGATACTGTGTCAACGGCCAGCCTCGAGTTTACAGGGGGAAGAAAAGGACCGGGTCCAAAGCTAAGATTATGTTTACTAATCTTCTGGCTTTTCACGTGTCATCACCATAGAAAAACTAGTTCAGCTTTCTGAATCCAACCAGCAGTTTTAACATCATAATTCCTGTTGGCTTTTTTCTTTCCCCAAGGGTTTTTCTCCCACAAAAAGTGCTTGTTCCAGAACATATGTAACACCCGGGATAGCGAGGAGGACAGGCTGCCTATCAATTTTTACCACAATAGTTCATTTTGAAGACAAGTCTTTCTTCCCTCTACAGAAACACCATCTTTTAATGAAAGCCATTAGCATTGCTTTTTGTGATCAGATCCCAGTTGTTTGCATGTAATACGCAGTGCAATACAATCACTAAAATAAGTCCCAGCTGTAGAAACACAATGCTATGCTGTTGCTAATGTGTGTTGTACTGATAATGAATGGTCGTCTATGCTTTAATCTGAATAAAGCTCCCAACTGCTCTGTCTCTCCTTGCCAAAAATTCCCCTTCCTCCTCCAGACTGTGGTTGCATTCCAATTACACTGCTGATTGGAATGAGCCTGCTTGGGGGAGGGAGAGGGAGGGAGACAAATGAACACGCACACACGCCTCTCCTTGCCTTCCGATGGCTGCCCCTGGGACCCAGAGATTGTTTGGGGTGTTTGAGCCTATGGCTGACATGACGTACTTTTCTCCACATTGTATAAAACTCTTCGTAAATTTATTTGTTTTAGAAAAAATGATGGGCAAATGGCACACTGTGCACAGGTTCCAGCAGGAGCTCAATGCTTTAAACATTTCTAACAAATTCCTACTGTTTTCTTCCATTGTTGGCAAGCTACTGAGAAACTTATATTTTTCTGCTTGCACTCCCTCCTTGGACCTGCCTAAATTCCCACATAAAGATATAAACCAGGAGGTCTTCAACTATGCATTGAACAAAGAGCTGTAAATAACACCATACAGATTTGCAAATACAGCTGTTGAGGTAATAACTTTCTTAATCAAGGTTCTGAAATAAAACTGTTTATCCCAACTACTCACATTAGATTTTATTTTACAATTAATCTCTCTGAGGATTTTTTTTTTTAGTTTTCATTTCCTTTCAATTTTAATTTCCTTTGAAAGGTGTTTTTTCTGCAAATGAACAAACTAAGTGACAGAACATGATAATAAACTAAGAATTTACTTTCAGTTAATGAAATTCATGCATTTTAGAAGATTGTGATCAATTATCATCAAGAAGGGACACACAAAGATGTTAGCTAAACTTAACAAATACATGTTTTACAGGTGCACAGGGGTTTTGAGTAAAAAAGGTATTGAAACATGAAATGGGTAAGAATGCTGCAGCTGACCATTATTCTAACCATGATCACTGATCAACAGGAGCTGGAGGGTTTCATGTTGCACCTAACAATAGAGGGCTGCAGCTGTTCCCCAGGTCTAGCAATCATATGGATACAAGGTAGATCAGGAACCTGAACTGGCTTAACAGAAAATTAACCTTCTGGGGAGATGGGATTAGTTTGCCATTGGCTCCAAGAGCTGCGTTGACTTATCCTGCAGTCACGCCATCCATAGATCTAATGCGAAGGAAGTGGCAGAAGCACATGGCTGCAGAGGAGGGAGGATTAGCCAGGCTCTCTTTCTGAGGGCAACTGCAAGTTGCAGTGTAAAAGTGCACTCCATACCACTGAGTTTTCAGCTCAAAAAAAACCCAAACCAAACAAAAAAAACCCCAAAAACCACCACCCCCACAATATTTTCATTTTAATGGCGATTGCTGGTTTCTCCTCCTGTCTCTCTTTTGCAGTTCATAGAATCCTAGAATGGATTTTGGTTCAAAGGGACCTCAAAGATCACCTAGTTCCAACCCCCCGCCACGGGCAGGGACACCCTCCACTAGCCCAGGTTGCCCAAAGCCCCATCCAGCCTGGCCTCGAATGCTTCCAGGATGGGACATCCATTTATTTGGGAAGGGAGGGGGGGAGGGATTAAAATAATTTTTTTAAAAAGCAGATTTTTGCCATCAGGATACCAAAATAACTACCTAACACCTTTCAGGTTTTCAGAGACACACTCTTAACCTTAAACATTCAGATGGAGTTTTATTTCCTATTCCTAAAGGACACTCAGAAGCACAGAACCAAAACATCGAAAAGCATTTGTCTTGCAGGTATACACACAACTGCTTTCAGGCCGCTCCAGTTTACTTATTGACAGCTGCTCTGAGTCTCACAAAGCACTAGTAATTTAGAATAACCCGACAAGCTCTAAACTAGAGTTGTTATATACAAAACAGGTACGAACACAGAGGCTGGCATGCTTTTCTTAAAGTATGGAGGGAAAATAATTAAACCTTTTTATTTGGATTTCAGTGCTACCCAAATTAAAACTCCAAACACCGTCCTCTGAAGATGTCAGTGAGCTGAAATGGTCACTGGTCACCCCCATGCCTCTTATTTTCTGAGACCAGTATAGAGGCAGCACATGCCAAGATGAAGGTGCCATACGACAAGCACAGGGAAGCCCAGTTCACCCAAGGACACCGGACAAACTGATGCCGATTTCAGACATACTCTGCTGGATTAGTTTAAATGTAAACACTCTCCACCATCCCCTAGATCCGTGGTTCTGCAGCAGGAAAGAGCAGTGTGAGCACTGCCTTCTGAAGCAGCCAGGGAAACCTCAAACCACCATCACTAGCTGTTTCATCTAGGTATCTTTTTCTGATGTGACTTAGGAAATGCATAACACAATCCCTTCTGTCCCCAGAGCTATGGGAGCCAGGACAGCTTGGAAGGGATGAAAACGTCTTCAACGGGCACAGCTATCTTACCACATACACTTATTGCTCATACTGGCAGGAAGCTAGTTTCCAATTCTCTTTCAGAATTGTAAACCTAATTTAAATCTAATGCAAATTTAGAATCACGCACCAATTCTAACTGTCTTACTGGGAATACACGTTAGAACAATTCAGAAGTACTAATGAATTTTTAAAGTGCTATTAAATACTAACCTGTTAGCTTGGGGAAAAAAATTTAAAAAAATCAACACTAGTTCTAAGTGACATATAAAAGCATTATTGTTAGGCTGATAGCCAAACACAAGGTAGGCAGCTTTAAAGTAAACTTTTAAATTACCTATTAGGATAGCCTTAGCACTAGAAAAGCACTTTTAACAAGAATTTCCTTTAATAACTGTTAAAATTCTAAATTGTCCCATAAACGTATTTCTGCAAGTTCAGCTTCAACACAAGCCAGATGCTAAATCCTTAATATGCTGCATGTAAAATGAAACCCATTTCAAAGGATCACATGCACCTGCTTATAAGCATTGTCAGTTCGAAATCCATGTCTCCACAAATCAGAATTATTCTTCTGGGACTACACAAAGCCACAATAACCTGCATGCAAACAGTAATATGGAGAAGTGAAAAATGCCCTAATAATGCAATATACTTTAAATCACTGCAAAATATGCCAGAGACTAACATAGTAACAGTACATTTTTCTTTCTAACAGATTCACTATATTAAATTCTGCCTAAAAGAGTAGGTTGTGCTTTGACTGGATTTAGAATTCTAGACCCATATTACTTGCATGTAATATAACTCATGGAGATTAAAATTCAAAATGAAAACATCACACATGTATCACAGAAGAAACATTAATAAAGATATATTGCATCACTGAATATAAACAGTTAAGCCAATAAATTATTCATCTCATGCAATAATCAAATTCTGGGACAGAGACTCGAAGGCTATTTTAAATTCCCGTAAGGGGACGACGACACGACAGGACGCAAGACTCCAGCAGTCTGTGCCGGGGATGTCTGAATGACTTGTGGACGCAGCCAGATGGAGTCTGCCTAGATTTGCCCTGTTTAGACTCCCGTTTTAACATCATGATGTCTACTTCACAGTATTGTTTTACTGTAAACAAAAGGCTTCCTTTTCCACTTCTCCTCCCTTATTCCACTCCAAGCCAAAAGTAAAACAAAACACAAAACCCCCCACACCATTGAATTCTTCCTTCAAGCAAATAATGCATTCACATTTCCTAGATTCATTCAGTGATGGGCTTACTGCCACACACGTCACCAACTCTATTCATGTGTCCAGTTTATTTGATACGCCTGTCAAGAGGTAAAGGAAAGAAATTATGCTGCCACTTCTGCATAAAGGTAGCAGCCCTCCCCAAGCACTTCAAATCATACCATGAAGGTTTACAAGTCTCTTTTAGGGAGATTTGTGTTTGAACCAGTGAAACTGAATATGTAGATGCAAAACCTTAAAGTTGTTTTTGGTTTGCCTTTTTTTAGCTATATACCAAATATGCAAATTAAATTTGAACGATACAGGATTAAACCATCCCCATGAGGGCTCTGTGCAAGCTAGGGCTTCGGTCCGAGCCTCAAACAGGGAAAAAGAAGTAACACTGAAGAAAACAAAGGCTATTGCGAATATTTGCATTTCCTGGTTTAGTGTGGATGGAGCCTCTCAGACCAGCCAGGATGTTTCTAATGCGTAACTTTCATACACTAGAAATTCCACTTCAGTTCTCCACCCTACTCCAAAATGGCCTAACCCTCACATCTCGTCCATTTTTCAGCATCTGAAAAACCACTACTGTGCCATGAAGTCATCATAATTACACTGCTTACAAAGGCTAAATACTCTGCTGGTCAGTTGGGGTGGGGTGGGGGAGAGAGGGGGAACAACATAGCTTTAAATTAACAGCTATTAGAATACTTAAAAAAAAAAGTCAGTAGTCAAAGATCAATTTTCAGACCAATTTCAAAGTTCTCTCTTCTGTTTCTCACATTTGTAGTAAGTATAAAATTGTATTCCAGTAAACAAAATCAGGGTGGGAAACGGAAATTCACTCAAGATAAATGAACCCACTAGCTTTGCTGTTATATTTGCTGTATGATCCTCTCTTTTTTAATTATTTTATCTTCCTGCAATATTAAAAACATAATTCCCATTGAAAAAACTTTTAACTTAAAGTAACATTACCAAGATTAACTAATCTCAAACTTGCAGAGGTGGTTATTCTATGCAAGTGGAAGCGAAGTAAACTCTATTACAAGCATTAACTTATCCTAGAAATACAGAAATGAAGTATTATTTAAGAGCTCAGGCAAAGAAAAGGGCGTACTCTTATCTTAAATTCTTAAGAATCATTGTGTTAAAATCTTACCTCAATCCTTAAAGACTTGTTTGAAATCCCAGCAGCTATTTTTTAACCAAGACCCACTTTAGACAGATGTGATTAGTCCAAAATTACCAACTTGCAAAATACTTGAGAGAGCACAGGGTTCTTCCTCTGAGGATGGGTAAATAAAAAGGTAACATGGAAATTTACCCATATATTTCTTAGCTTGTTTTGACAGGAACAGGGGTGGGGGGAAAAAAGCTAACATGAGAAACAAATTATAGTTCTGTTCTGACTGATGTATTTCATGCATCTCTGAAAACGTGCTGGGGAAAAAAACAGGCTAATAAGAAGCAGAGCCCTCGGATTTGTTTCACTGCAGTAAAACTCTCCACCCTCTGAATGATCTATAGTAGAGGCAACAACAAAAGAAATTCATGATCCAATTACCAACCAGACAAAAATGCCCTGAATTTTAAAAAGGGCTTCAGACAAGAGGCACCTGCAACTAACCCAGACTCCTGGGTATCAGGAATTGTAGATACCAGCAGCTTTCCAGACTTTAGGACTGCTGCCATCTCTGTCCGGACACAGTCACACACTTGATTTAGACAGGAAGTCTCAAAATTCTGTCTCCACTACAGACATGATCCTAGGGGGACACTGCTACTGCTGGGAATTTTCTGGGAAGAGGCAAAAGGAAAAGAACCACACACACACACACACACAAAAAGACACCAAAAGCATGCAGATCATGAGTAATTCTCATGCCACTTTCCAGCAAAATTCCATAAATACCAATTTTATCAACACTAACAAAAGGATTATCAGCCACTTTATAAGAAACAATTCCTAAAACATGACAACAGCTAAGGTGACAACTTTGGTTGAGGGGGAAAGCCAAAGTAAATTTTAGCATTTCAAACATACGACTTGAAATGGTTGAGCAATCTTTTTAAAAAATCATTCCCTAATAAACAAAACAATGATAAAGAGTTTGTGAGGATCATGATTTCGATGCTATCACTACTAAAAATCACTAATTAAGCATCCACCTTAATCTAAACTCCTAGTTCAGCACAGTTATGTTTTACTACTACACCTGATGTACTGAAACCGTATTATATGAACACAGATGAGCAATATACTCCTCTCTACATCCTCCTGCATTGCCATCAATATCCACAACTTCAGACACAGATTCTGATCTGTCTCCTTGATAATATGTGGATCCTGCCCCCTTCCCCTTTAATATAGTTGAAATGTTTAAGCACAATGCCACAGTATTTACTTTTCTTTGGAAAAATTGTTTTCAATGGAGTGCTTTCAGCTCTGGAAACTGCCTCTCTCTAGAACTTGACTGCTTGGCTTCTGCTGAAAGAAAAGAGGGTCAGCAGAAAGATGTGCAGACTAGATATACACCTTTACCTGGTTACTAAGCTCATGCCTCTGATTCCATAATTCTATCTCTACCTGCAGAAATACAATACCATATAAGCAAGGAAAACATGGTACTTCAAGAAAGTACATAGAGGAAACTAAGACAACATCACCATTCACACATTATTATTAAAATTCTCATGTACCTCAGTCCAGTCTTTTCCCCCTCATCACACAACCATGAAGCTTTATGTCCAGGAGGCAATTATATCAATAGACTATACAATTTATAAACTGATTTAGTTAGATTATTGCAGTTCTTTAACATGAACAGATTCAGCTTAGTTTCTCTGTGTAAACAGATGTGTTCTACAGATCAAACCCCAACAGTTTTAAGAAGCTGCTGCTGTTAAACAGA